ATATTAACTTTAAAATTAAAAGTTTAATTATTTAATATTAAATAATAATAATAAACATTCCCTTATAGTAATAATAAAAAAGCCATTAAACAATATTTAACTCCTTTTGTGGTAATTAATATTATTGCAGTAATTTAAAAAAGTTATTGTCTTTAAAAAATAAAAAAAAATAAAGTGAATTTTATGACGTCAAATATCGCATTAAGCTAATGGAATAAGCAAATATCGCATTAAGCATAGGAATAATATATATATATATATATATATATATATATATATATATATATATATATATATAACTCCTATAGTTTGACATCTACTATTTGCGGTAAAAAATGGCTCTTAATGACTCTTTGTGCTTAAACAAGACAAAATTAAGTACAGTTTATATAAAAACCATTAAATTTAATTGAGGAAACTAACTAAATTCTATCATTTTTTAAAAAACCTCAAAAGCGCAAATAATAAACTTTTTAAAAACATACGGAATGTTTTTACTTTTTCTAAAAAAACTAAAAAAATTCCAAATGTTTTGATTTTTATTTTTATACTGTTTAAATACATCGAGTGACAAATAGGCAGAAAAAATAGGCAGAAAAAGCAAGGAGTGCTACTAAATGAACTAACAAATAAGTAGAACATGCAAGGAGTGTTGCTACATGGACTGAAAAATAGGTAGAACATGCAAGGAGTATTTCTACATTGACTAATCTAGAGAACATGCAAGGAGTGTTGATACATTGACGGTTTGGTTTGGGCAGGCAGTCAAAAGAATTAAAGTTTTTTTTTAATTAAAACTTTTGATAATATTTACTCATCTGGACTTGTTAGTCAAATTTGAAGTGATAACGGAGGTGAATATATTTCAAGGGAATTTCAAGAACTTCTAAGAAAGTACTGTATTAAGAATGAGCAAACCTCGCCATATTGTCCCCATCAAAATGGTAATGCCAAATGAAACTGGCGAATTTTGTTTGATGTCGCCAGATACATGCTTATTGAATCAAAGTTTCCAAAATTTCTATGGACGTATGCCATAATGACTGCAACTTATGTTAAAAATCATTGTTATAATAGTAGACTTTAAAACACTCCATATGAAAATACTCCACATACTATGACAAAGACTAAGTCAAGCCTTTCCAGATTACATATTTTTGGAACAATATGCTATCCATATGAAAATGATATTTAAAATGGATCCTCATAGTAAAATTGGACATTTTATCATATATGAGAAAGCACATCATATTTTGCATACTACCCTCAAACAAATTCTGTTCTAAAGCATAGATTAGTAAAGTTTACTGAAAATTTTAGACTCATAACATCTAATGATAATCAAGATGATTATCATTAGATGTTATGAGTCTAAAATTTTCAAGATGAAATTGAAAACTCATACCAAAAATATCAGCATCAAAGACCACCAAAATATTTAAATGATTACATTATTGACAATTCTGAAAACAATGATTACATTAAATATATTGACTACTGCTATTTTTTAAAAGTACCCATAAAAGTACCACATATATATATATATATATATATATATATATATATATATATATATATATATATATATATATATATATATATTTGTATAGTTTAGCACTTACAGGGACAGATTTTACAAATTAACGAACACTTACGGAGACATTAGCATTATCGGGGACATTTTAGTGTACCCGCTAATTTTTTGTCCCGGTAAGCATGATTTTTTTAGTAAAAAAATGTACCCGTAAGAAACTATTATAGAGAACGAAAAGTACATACATCGACTGACAAATAGTCTGACTCGCAAGGGAGTGCTGCTACATCAACTGAGGGTTTGGTTAGGCCAGGCATCAAGGTCAGGCTTAGGGTTAGGGTTACAGCAAGGTTTAAACTTGGTTATATTATTGTAATTAATCGTTTTTTGTAAATAGATGAAGTTAAAAATGAAATAAAATATAAAACAAATAAATAAAAATAACAAAACCTAATATAAAAAATATATTTTTATAATAAAATAATAAATTTAAATATATATAAATAAAAATAGAAAAAAATTAAAATTTAGAACAGAAACAAAAATAACATGTCCCCGAAAGTCGCCAAATAGGATGCTATATGTATATATATATATATATATATATATATATATATATACAAATAGTATTGCATACTAAGGTAAGCAATCTGACGTCATACTGAAATAGCCTGCTGCTGGGGGCTTCAGTACATACATCGACTGACAAATAAACTGACTCGCAGTGGAGTGCTGCTACATCGACTGAGGGTTTAGGATGGGGCAGCAATCGTTTCATTCATCATTCTTCATTTTTTTCTCTTCTTTTTCTAAAAAAGCCATATGGGTTAAGGTAAGCAAATGCTTATAAAAATACACTTTAGTAAGTGTGTGTGTGTATATATATATATATATATATATATATATATATATATATATATACATTTGCATTCATAGCCTTGCATGAAATGTCATGGATGACATACTGAAATAGCAGTCTTAAATTCTCACCAAATGAGGGTTTAGAGAGGTACTACCTAGTCAGGGTGTAAACTAGCCCTATGGGGCCCTATCAAACGCAATATTCTTAAATGCTCATAAAATTAAAATTTCCAATTTAAAAGTAAAAAAATCTCATTCTCCAAATAAAGTTTGCCAAATTAAAGTTTAATAATAATTCTAAAAATTATTGAAAATTAATTGCTGTTAATAACTAATAGAAAAATGACATAAAAAATTATAATTTATTGTTTAAAACTTGAAATAAAATTGCCGGTATTGGTATAACTACGCGCTTGCATAACTGCCAAAACGTCTCATGGAAAAAAAACTTTTTGAGAATTGGGATTTTCCAAAAATCCTTAAAATTGCTCAGAAAAAAATTTCCCAAAATTTGCAAATAATTTTTTTGCAATGCGTTCCAACAAGAGCAAATATTATTTTAAAAAAGTTAGCAAGAAATAATGTACAATTTCAAAAATTACAAATTTGTTTGGTTTAACACCCACGAATGCTATTTCTTTAAAAGTTTCACTCTTTTTGGCTGAAAAATTGAATAAGTTAAATGTTTTTTGATTATAGCAAACTGGTCCTAGAAATTTATTTAATGAGGAAAATAGATTTCTTTACTTTACTGGTTACTTATATTTAAAATGTAAATTAAATACGTATATTAAAACGTAAACTAAATACCTTTAACAACAAGAATGTTTTTTGTTTTTTTTCATTACAACAAACTGGTACTAGAATTTTAAAAAACAAGGAAACTAGATTCACTGCTTGCTTGAATTAAAAACATAAAAGCAAATTTTAATGTTTTAATAAACCATAGTCATATTAACATTTTATGACTATGAATGAAAAAATAATTATTGGTATTCTTCGCTGCCACGATAACGTGCAATCATTTGCCATCTTTTGTAATTCTTTTGTAATTAAACAACAATTGTTGTTTGCTGAGACTTTGCAATTGTAACTTTATTCCACTATACAATTTATGTATAAAGAAAGTTATTATTAATTATAAAATTAAACTCGCAATAAATGTGAAATTTACCAGCTTGTGATTACTATTTTCAAAACCTTTTTTATTTTTCTATTTTAAACATTTCTTTTGATGACATAATTTATTACATAGTGTAAGGGTTCGTTAATAAAGGATGTCAACCAGAATTTGAATAATAATTAGAAGTAGAAGATCATTAGCGGAAATTTTCATTGAACATAAATCGCTACATTACTTTAAAAATCGCCCTTTAATGCCCACCAGTAAAAAAATATATATATTCAAAAGAATATTCTTATGTATTATATATTACTCTTAACATGAACGTGGCAACGATATATTAAGATTAAAAGTAAATTAAATATATTATTCTTAATAATAATTAATTAATACACACTGATTATTTTATAATATAAATATATATAATTCTGAATATAACTTTGGAAATCAGAGCTTAATTTGCTTTGCCGTTGTGAAACCACTTTTAATTTTATGTTGATTTCATATTCATCTTCAATAAATGTTACAGAAAATATTTTGTTTGATTTTTGGCACTGTCCAATCAATGTATGCAGCGCTAAAGTGGAGTAGAAGAAGAAAGAATATAAGAAAAGGACCCCACACATTTTAATTTCAGGGGAAGAGAGGGTACACATTTTAATTTCAGGGTAGGAGATATTTGGGAAATTTTTTGACAAAATCCTAATTCCATCAAAACGCTGCATCAAATTTATTTCTAGTTAACACCCTGCTAGTTATTACGAACTTTTATTATTGCAAAAGAAAATTTCTTTTTTTTCCATTATTCTTTGTTTTTGTTTTTTCTGAAAAATCTATTTGGATTCAAGGCAACATTTTAAAACAAACTGTGCAAAATATATTAGAAAATTACCAACCTAAATCTGATAAAGTTAGTATATTAATGCATATATAAATATATATATACATGCAAGCATGCATACATACATACATACATACATACATACATACATACATACATACATACATACATACATACATACATACATACATACATACATACATTATTAGATTTATTAATAATTTTCTTTTAAAGGTAAAGGTAATAAATTTACTTTTAAAAATGAGTTTGGCGACATTAAAAGTCTAAGTATCCTTTAAAAAAAACTTATACTGCCTAATGAACTCTAGAACATTTTATCATAAAACACAGTTATAGGGTAAACTATGTTTTAATATATTGCAATTGACTTGCAGTGCAATCGTACATTTTTAAAAAAAAATTTTCTCTTTTAATTTTTTTCTTTACTTTTTTATTTCTTAATAAAAGTCAATAGTAAAATGCTTTTAAATAACACTAATTTTAAATAAAGTAATATAATTAACAAATATCAATAGTAATCTAAAAATCAAACAGATTTTTTTGAGAAAAAAAGTGCCAACATTTTGTTTAGTTTCTTTAGATATTAAAATTTTTTAATACAGAAAATATTTTTTACACACTTCCAATTTGGGGTGAAGAGCGATCATTAGTGACAGTTTTCTTCAGCTTTGCACCAGTTTGAATTGATGAAAGAAGCATACCTCTTCCAGCACCAGCATCTCCTCCACCTCCAGTCTTTTTAACACCACCATCTGTATTAACTTTAGGAGGAGGAGGTGCACTTGGTGGAGGTGGAGGTGGTGGTGGAGGCATTATTTATGGAAAAAAAATTAATTTTCCAAGTAGAATGTGAGAACCTAAAATAAAAATAAAACTGTTTTAACAAATTAGTTATTCTTTTAAAATATATTATAAAATTTATTTACTTATTTGAATTATAAAATGAAAGTGAAAAAATGCAACAGTAAAATACACAAGTCAAAATCAATATGTATATAGACAAAAGGACCTCAAATTCTATAAAGAATTTTATATAAATATTGGCACATTTTCTATTTCTAATACACTACATACTTTATAATGATGCCAGAGACATTTTATTACTTTCTGATGTTTAAAAAAGCACATCAAAGTTATCTTATACATACATACATACATACATCCATCCATCCATACATACATACATACATACATACATGCATCCATCCATCCATCCATACATACATACATACATACATACATACATACATACATACATACATGCATGCATGCATGCATCCATCCATCCATCCATCCATCCATCCATCCATCCATACATACATACATACATACATACATACATACATACATACATACATACATACATACATACATACATACATACATACATACATACATACATACATACATATATTTATTTATATATATAAGCCTATCCTATTTTTAACAAATTTTTATTCACAGTTTTATAAAATGTTCCCAAGGTTATGTTTTCTTAATGAAATTTTTTTATTTTTTATTTCGGATGACTATTTATTTTAGAAATTTACAAATCATTAACTATATAATTACATCAATGCAAAGAATGGAAGGTCTTTTTTATTTATACTAATTGTGTGCATTTTTATTTGTTTACTTTACATTTGTTAACTGGTGGCATTTTTAAAATGCCCAAATTTGTTATAAAATTAAAAAAAAAAAACTTTTAAACATGATAGTGATAAAGCCCTATACATAACAATTAAAAATTTGTTAGATTCTTTTGATCTCAAACAGTTTAACCACTTCAAGCACTGGCTATTTAAAAGGGGTTTGTGCAACATTATTTTTTTAAACATCGTGCCATTATGTCGGAAAGCCTCATACAGCTGTAGCCGTAAATAAAACTGATAAGATGAGGAATAAACTATAAATCTCTAAATTAGAGCTAGGATGTTGTTGATGCAAACAATGAGACGGTACACTTGCAATTAATTCACCAAAATGTTAAGAGCATCTGGTTAGAAAAGTAGGCTCTTTCGTTGCTCAAAATTTGCAGGAACTTGATAGAACATAAAAGATTAAGAAATAGTAAGGTAAAGATAAAATTAAATCACTTTAAAATACCTTAATGCAAAAACAAAATATATAGGTTTCTAATTAAATTTTAATATTATTTACATTTAGACTTATAAGAAGTGCAGAGATTATTGTGAACTTACAGAAAATCTGATCATTAGGTAAAAATTAATATAAATGGAGTTATTACACAAACCAGGTTTTAGGTAAAGATGTTTTACTACATAAAATTCCAGTTGCATTTTCTCAAAATTATATAGGTTCTTATTCTGAGTAATAAAATACTCAAAGAGATCAACAGAATGCCTGACTACATTTCTCTCTCCTGGGCATCATGGTTTTTGACCTGCGACTTTTCTGATTCTGCATTTTTTAAAGTAAAACTTAATTTCATAAGTTTTGAAATTTTAGTCTTATTATTTAAAAATAATAATGTTATAAAAGTAAAAAATTGTTTAAAAACAATGGTTTGAAGTTAGATACAAAAAACAAAGAATATAACTCTTAAGCAATTTTTTTTCCACTAAAAAAATTTCCACTAAAATCGATAGAAAATGCAATTTGATTTTATCTTGTCAAAATTAAATGTAATAAGTTTTTAGCAGTGTCATTTTAACCTTAATTTATATACATTGCTTTATTTCTAACTTCTACACTTTTAAGATCAACGAGACTATTCGCAGAAGTCTCATTATACTAAATATGAGCTTGCTGCAGAGAGTTGAAACTTAAATCATAGTAAAACTGTATGAGGTATATCTGCTAACCCTGGTGCTGGCATTAGCATCCTCTGACAGAGATCACTACATAGAAATGGAAAAAGTTTTTTTATTTAACCCAAACGGAGTTCCGGAAAGATATAAAAATGGATAGAACCAAAGCTGAAATCCTTCTGAAAATAGTTTTTGGTGATAAAGACCAGCCACTAGGTCTTTAGTTGTATATTTCACTACAGGTTAATTTTAGATATTCCAGGTCATAAAAATGACTATGGATTAGACTTCATCAGAGTTTTTTGATAAATTGAATTTCAAAGCTTTTAAAATCTTTTAAAGTTGCTATAAACTCATCAGAACTCACAGCAAAACTGTAGATTTATTGACCATAGTTTAAGAAATTTATTTCTCAAAACAAGAAATATATTTCTTGTTTTAAAAAACAAATTGCTAGGTAGGAATGTTTCTTAAAACGAGAAATGAACTTCTTGTTTATATATATATATATATATATATATATATATATATATATATATATATATATATATATATATATATATATATATATATATATATATATATATATATATATATATATATATATATATATATATATATATGACCTTTTATAATTCTTTTAATTTAATTTAGTGTTTTTAAAATTGATCGATAAGCATTTCCCGCCCTCTAAAAAATTACATAAAATTTTTAATCGAAATACTATTAAAGTTAGCTACAGTTGCACAAAAAATATGGAAAGAATTATAAAAGGTCACAACAATGCTTTGTTAAACAAAAAAGAAATCCAAAATGAAAAAACTACAGAAAATTGTAATTGTAAACAAAAAAACAATTGTCCAATGAGTGGAAGTTGCTTATCAAAAAATGTGGTATATAAATGTGTTGTCTCTAAGAATGTACCTGATAAACAATATATTGGCATAACAAAGGGTGAATGGAAAAAACGTTTTGTCAATCATAAGCAATCTTTTAAAAATAAAAAGTATTCAAAAGACACCATGCTGTCAAAATATATATGGGAATTAAAAGATAAAAATATTGATGATTTTACACTGAATCGGTCCATCCTTAAAACAGTGCCTGCATATAACGATATTTCCAAAAAATGCATACTATGTCTACAAGAAAAATTTGAAATAATTACACATACAAACCAAGAATGTTTATCAAACAAAAAATCGGAATTGATTTCTAAATGCAGGCACGAAAATAAGTTTCTCCTAAAAAACTATAAAAATAAGTGAGCTCAAATAATAGTTACATTAACTCCCCTTTGAAAAAAATATATTATTTTTTAAAAAAGCTTAAAAAAAAATTTTCACCCCCCCAGGCTTGGTCGGGAAGCGGGTGCGATCGCACTCGATATTTGACCACGGAAATTATATTTTGTTGCGAAAAGCCGGCCAGATTTTTTAGGCGTTTTGAGAACATTTCAAAAACAAGCAAAAAAGCGCAATAAGATAAACTGGACCGATGAGACAGTTAAAAAAAAGAAAAATAGCTTTTAACGCAAAACTTTAAGCAAAATAAATACGATTAGAGCAAATATTTTTGAAACGTCGCTCTTTTATAATTTTTTTTTTTAAAAAATAGCGACATTTTTTGTATATAGTAACAACGTACTTATAATGATTGTTTAATAAAGAAACAAATGTTTTTCAATTTATCAAAGATTATATATATTATTTTTATTTATATACTTATGTCTTATTTCCAGTGCTGGAAATAAGAGGTGGGGGGGGGGGGGGTAGAAGAGCTATAGTCCCGGGACACACAATGTTATGGGCCGAAAAATAGTCAAGAGGACGTATCGGTATTTTTATGTCATTTTTACGCTGTCGCACATTAAAAAGGCCACCAAAATAATGCAGCCCCCGGCCCTGTAAAGTCCAATAAGATTAAACCAGTAAAACTAACGCTACATAATTTAATTATAAATAAAAAAAGTTTTTTCAGTACCTGTTTTATGTGTTCGCGTAGTTTGAAAAGTTTAACATATTTGAAACAATTCTTCTTAGTAAGATGGACAAATGAAATAGCAAAATCATTGAGTTACTGTGGAAATTTAATTAGCTAGATAAAAATTAACTGAAAACGTTAAATTACTTTGTAAGGAGGAAGCGGAACTGCTTAACAATATCGCTGATGATGTTTAGTGAGTGGGCTTTATATCTTTAACTAGTATTTTACAGAAGAAAAAAAAACTTTAAGTGTAAGTATAACGAGTTTGTAAGAATGGCTGAAGCAAAAATAATTGAAGTTAATAAACCAATTTCTAATACATTACATACATATAAATACATCCCTTATATATAAAAAATAAGATTATACTAATTAAATTCATAATATATTTACAAAACGTTGACAAGTTAAAAAATATAAATTTAAAACATTTATTTTTATTTTGTAAACAAATGTTAGTTTAAAACATTTATAGCTTTACGGATGTGACTCCGAGAATGAGCCATTGTATTAAAATAATTGTTCGTTTGATAGTATATTCTTAAAACAATTGATGCTAGAATTCTCAACGAAAACATAACAAAAACAAAAACAAAAAAAAAAGATTTTGAAAAATAATTCAACAGAATACTCTAGAACAGTCGCTTGAATTCTTTAGTAATTTCAGTTATTTATTAATTGAACCAATAGAACTAGTTGTTCGTAAATTTGGCGGGTTTTTTGTGTTCGCGAATATTCTTTATTTATTTTCCACACTAAGATGTTTGACAACATTCAAGTTTATATAAGTTTCCATGTACGTCCGTAAAACAAAATCTTTTAAGATTTACGATTTAAATGAACTTATTATTTTGCAGACAAACAAGGAAACATACATAAACTGAAATGTTCTCAAAATGCCTGAAAAATCTGGCTGGCTTTTCGCAAGTAAATACAATTTCCGTGGTCAATTATCGAGTGCGATCGCACCTGCTTCCCGACCAAGCCTGCCCCCCCCCCTATACCTTGCACTGCTTTGCGGTAATGGGGGGGGGGGAGTTGCGTTAGTATATAATTGTAACTTTTGTACAAAATTGTTCTATTTTTAACATATTATCTCT